TTTCTGGATACCAGAACACATCTTTTGGGTCCTCCCTAATAGATCAAGCCACCAAGTTCTGCCCTGGTGAGAAGCTTTTCAACACGACTTCTGCATTCAAGATCCGTTACAAGTATACAAGTAGAATTTTGTCCTCCTTTATTGCTATTTCTGCCCCTGACCTCCCCCTCAAGCCACATACCCAGGCTGAAACTGGAGTCCCGATTCAGATGTAAATCAGACTTGCACCAAGACATACTACCAGGTCTTGAATACAAGATATTACATAGAGCAATGGTTACAGCAGCAAATGCAATGTACTTAGAAAGTCTGGAGACAATCGCAAGCATACTTCAAATTATTTCAGCACTTTTCTACTTCCTCGATCAAGAAACGAGAAGTTCCAACTACTTTTGCATCAGCATTAGTACATACGCAGTAAGTAAGGGGCTCAAACCACTTAACTGGTGATATTTACTGCATGCACAGGGAGAAAGTTTCAGTGCAGTACTGTCATATATTCAGTATAAGCCTCTGGTAGAGTCAATTGCTGTATTAATAAAGAAACATCAAGGAATTGTACATACATGAAAGCCAGATCTGTAGAAGATTCTCACTTCAAGCAAAATAAACCAGTCTTCCATGTGCCCCTTAGGGTATATTAGAAAAAAGTATTCATGCTGTTAGTTTGATGATCTCAGAAGTATCGAGACAGCATTCAAATCACTATCGTCACGCCTCATCTGTATCCCTGCAGTTTTTACAAGGCAATATGCAAGTTTGTTTTCAAGCTATAAGATAAAGACTTTTGAGTCACCTCCCCCACCATTCAGGTAATCACATTATAAATCAAACTCAGTAATAATAAAGAGCTATGGTTTAAGCAATCAGGCAAACTCATAGCAAAAAAAAAAAAAATTTTTTTTTTCAAGTCAAAGCCACCAGCAAAGCTTGCACTTCTGCTAAACAGTTATTTTCACACTGTGCTGATCTGCTACATAGCGAGCATATGAGCTACCATGAGCGCTCACAACTGAATCAAGCCAACAGCAGAAGAGTGAGAGGTTGGAAACATTAATAATCCACTAGCATTTTGTGTTTCACACCTACATTAGAAAGAAAACCCAGTACTTAAGTACAAAGAAAGCCCTTTCCTACAGCACACTGGAAGCAAGAGAAGAAAAAAAAAGCTGTCTGGGGTCTCTATAGAAGTCTGACTACTAATGCACACTGTCTGTAGCCAGGGATGATTTAGGCTGACAGTAGATTTCAATCCCCAGGTGCAGAATGTCCAAGAGAAGATTATAATTACTGCCTTTAAGTGGCACACAGCTGTGTACAGAGCAGCTGGCAGTTTTCAGAACCTAGTGTTTAATTTCTTAGTAAACTTAATTTTAAAGTACAGAAATGTTCCTATTAAACAGGTAAATATTTAAGTTATGTATATTGAACAAATTGAAACCGGTACTAGTTAGCTTTCATAAAAACATAGTTAATACCACAACTACAGCCATGTTGGACAAAGTAATTATATTTGTGCTATTTTTACATATTTCGAAGCTTCTAAAATGCTTCAGCTGAAAATGGAACATCATTTACCTTTTATTAAAGGGTCCAAAGAGTTACACATACACAAAGCTTTTCAGACTGAACACAGTGGGGATAAAAGCAGCTTCTAAAGCAGACAGAAAAGACATGTTCCTACAGAAGGAATGACTTCTATGGCAGCGTAATAAAGAACGGCAACAGTCATATATACGCACACGTAAAGGACAAAGCTAAATTCAGCCTACAGCACAAAGTTTTACAGCACTAGGTTTTGAAATAGTTCCTGACAGTTTGAAGAGCACAAAAATTTTTAGCCTCTGCTCTACAAGTTCTCACAATATGTAGCTTGTTCAGCCTAGAAAAAAGAAGGCTCAGAGGGGATCTCATCGCCACGTACCAGTACCTAAGGGGTAGCCACAAGGAAGATGGGAGACTCCCTTTTTCACAAGGAGTCCCATGGAGAGGACAAGGGGGAACAGACACAAGTTGCTCTTGGGGAGATTCCAATTGGACATGAGAGGGAAATTTTTCACAATGAGAACAGTCAACCATTGGAATAATCTCCCCAGGGGAGCGGTTGATCCCACCACATTGGACACTTTTAAGACTCAGCTGGACGGGGTGCTGGGCCATCTTGTCTAGACTGTGCTCTTACCTAGAAAGGTTGGGCCAGATGATCCTTGAGGTCCCTTCCAACCTGGTATTCTATAATTCTATAAAAAAAATTCTATAATCTCACTTACACTACAAAGCCCAGGGAAAGAAAAAGAAAACAGTTCTTCCTTCTACATCTTCATGCTCACACTTTTAAGACTTTTGGAAGTGTCAGTGCCTCACCCCCCTTAGCTTCTGCAACAGCATTATATACTATTTAAAAGTGATATTAGGGAATTATCAATTTTACTTAAATTTTCCAAGATTAAAAAACATTGTTACCACTTTTTCCTTATGCTCCCACAAACACAGGAATTCACTTTTAACAGAGACTCTCCCCCAAAAAAGTTAAAAAGCTCAAGATGCTTAGAACATCTTAAAGAGCCATACCACTGACCTACCGTCCCTCACCCTCTGCACCTCCATTTCTTGATGTATTTTGCTTAGTTTTGAACAAGATATTCCATACTACCCCTTAATCTGGAAAACTTTCTACAAACATCCACAAGTTCCCACTGTTGTTCAGAGAATCCCTGATGACTACCAAAAAAATACATTTGGAAGTCACATGATTTACAAACTATTTTGTTATCTCCTTCAGTTTAATTTTCCATAAGCCCTTATGTACAGGTGCTTACCCATTTACATAATGCCTTGCACCATGGTACACCGATGCTTCCTAAGGAGTCAAAAAGTCTTCAAATCCAACAGCACTGAAGTCCAGAAGCTGGATACAGTAGGAAAGTCCAAGGACTATACAGAACTGCAGTTCCTTGAGAGAAACTCTAATATACATAAGCAAGTAAGTAAACAAACCACTGCTCATACTCCAGACAAGGCACCTTTCCTCAGATACCATGAGCTCAAGTCACTTTTGCCTTTGTTCCCACTGGGCTTGAGGGAAGAAAGCTAATCCAGAGGATGGAGAGAGCACAGCCAAAGCCCATCACCCTTTTAAATCTCAAAGGGATCTGAGCTTTCTTACTCAGCAGAAGCAAGTTATTATAAAGCAAACTTAATTTCTAAATGACCCTAAGGAGCTAAGATCCCTAATCAGGTATGCAAACACTTCTACTTTCCCACCACACTACCTGCATTCTGTCCTACCCCTCACACACCAGTACTCCTTGTGACTCAGGTTGCCCTTGTTGGAGAGCAAAGCTGCAAAAACAAAAACCAAAAAACTACTGAAAAACTTCTACAGCTACCAGGGAACTGCTTCCCGACAGCAAGCTGGACGCACCTTGCTTAGGTGTTGGTAACAGGCCCATCCGAAACACATTCTTGGTAGCAGTCACACACTGCTTTTTCGTAAGATTAAGCCAGATCAGAACAGAATCCCTTCAAGAAAACTTAAACTACAGATTCTGCTGACCCTCCATTCCCTGCTTTTTCCTTCTGTAAAGCAGGAAAAGCACAAATAGTCTACCCACAGAAAACAGTCAAACTCAGCTCGTAATTAGTCACAGAAAAATAAAAATAAAAATAAAGTGAGAAAACATCCAATATTGCTGCCCACATAGAAAAAGCAAGACACTGAGAGTATCTCATCTTTAACTGCTCCTAAACCACAGGCTTTCCTAGACAAGTACATAAGTCAAAGCTGAGGAAAAAGTCCTACATAAACAAGTTGCTGCACTACCCGGAACACCAGCATCCTTCCAGAGGATATTCTTAGAATTGCCTTTAATAATACACACAATAAACCAGCTAATGGGAATCATTGTTTCGCAGGATATAAAGTTCCCATCTTTTCATAAAGGCACGCATTGTATAAACCACTCTTTGAACAACAACCCAAACATCTGCATTAACAAACAGAAGCCTGCTAAATAACACTCGTCCTTAGTTATGACAGGAGCCATCTGTTTACCTGGCTAACCCAGCTAACCCAGGGCAAGTGCAGCAAGCGCTGCCACAACCTGCTTATATTAGGCATCCTTACACTCCATCTTTCAGTGCACATTATTTGTGTTTCTAAACTGCAGTAACAGCATTAATCATACCAAGAGGAGTCTTAAAGACACATGCCTACAATGAAAGGCTCCAAGTGCCAAAGAAAATTCCCTTTGGTCTTCAGTTAACAGACAAAAGTGGACCACAGCCTTGTATGCACGGGGATGAGAGTTTGTAAACTCTGTAGTTATTCTTCTCCTGTTAGACTTACTTTTTCTTTTCTTCCTTCTTCTTCTATAGATGGGGGGGTTTTTTTTGGTTGCTGGTTTTTGTGGTTTTTTTGTTTGTTGGTTGGTTTTTGCTTTTTTGTTTGTTTGGTTTTTTGTTTTTTTTGTTTTTGGTTTTTTTTTTGTTTTTTTTTTTTTGTGTTTTTGTTTTTTTTTTTTTTTTTTTTTACACTTAGCCTAGTTATTCTTACAACTGGATGCTGCTACTTTTCAACGGAATGTTCCATGGAGTTTACATCACCAATTCTATCCAAGTCTCAGAATAGATTTTCACGGGTCAACCCTTGCATCCAAGAGTACTGGATTAGGTCCTGTTATTCTAGAACTCAGTAGCCCTACTACAGCTGCAGGTCTTTCCATGCATCTCTCACATGCAGCTCTCACTACTGTTGACAGAAGCAGCTTACCCCTTGCTGCTGCTGGATCCCTCCTTGCTGCCTCTCCCCAGCCCTGCTATCCAGACCCTGGCACCCACTCTGGCCAGCAGCCCCCCCCGCCTCGGCAGAAGCCGAACTTACTGCGTGGAAACCTGGGCAGGGACAGGGGGCAGGCAGAGGGACCAGAGCCCTCCCTGCCCACAGCTGCGGGGTGTGCAGGCTGCCGCCTGGAAGGGGAGAAGCGGGGATTGCTCCGTACCTGACCCAGTTGTCGCGGAACTTGCTCTGCTGGGGCTGGTTCAAGTAAATGGTGCGGGCTGGTGCCTCGTCCAGATCCGCCGAGGACGTGGCTCCGGACATCTCATCATCCGCCTTCTTATAGCCCGAGGGGGAACAGACGGGTCCTGCGGGGAGAGCGCGGAGGGGAGGCGGTCAGTGAGGGGCTGCACCC